AATTTATTCAAAATTGATGCTTGCAACAATTCTTTACCAAGAAATACGCTTATGGTAAAATTTTGGAAAATGGGCGTGGCATCGCCCAATTATGATCACATATATGTATATCGGTAACCGTTCTACCAATTTGTACCAAACCCAGCATTTTTATTGTGCTTACCACATAAAAGCAAAACGTTGAAAATTATTAAAATCGAACTAAAATTACGGCCGTTTTTCATATAACGGTAAATTTCAGAAATGCTTGAAACTGCAATATTTCGAAATTTAAGGACGCGAATTTACTCAAAATTGATACACCCCGGCTTACCATCTAGCGGTAGCTTTCGGAAAGGTGAAAAAATATATATTTAATACTTGCGCCGGGTACTTAATGTTCGGCTCCACCCGAACTTAGACTTTCTTACTTGTTTAAATTCGTTTTGGTTCGACATTCTGCTATTTCATAATTCTTTCATTCTCACGTCATCCATCTTCCATTTCTTACCTTCCATTGCCGTTCGCGTTGTCGAACGTGCCTGTCAAACACTGCTGCCTTCATGCTTTTCAGTTTGGCAGGCACGTCCGCTGTTTGGCAGGCACGTCCGCTGTTAGAAAGAGAATAGACAAAGAGGGGCATAGGATTCCATACTTAAGAATGGAAAACAACAACAATAGTAAGTTTAATTTCATGAAGAATTTTATTGTGTTACCTTGTGGTTTTAAAGTGTAATTACAACTTTTTGAATTGTATTGACATACTGCCAAAATTTAACAATCAACAGCAAAAAGATTGTTAAGAATTGTGCTATGATTAATTAAAAAAAAAATGAAAATCGGCCACGAAATAAGGAATATAGAGCATCTTAAGGGTACATGCTCGCGTTTTATGGAATGCGGACCACTGTGCGGCGTGAGTTGTATGTGCATGAGAAATTTTTGACAGTAATTTGTCGCCGTGCGTGAATATTAGGTTGGCCAGTAAGTCAAATGAACACCTTTTCTGTGCAAAATTAAAAATAGCTTTGAAATCATATCATTTGAACCAAAAATCGTAAGTATTGCATTAATAGTAATAACTTTAGTAAATTAACCTACTCACGACCTAACTTTTTTTAACCCCTGCACGATCTACGATGAAAACTCATACATTAAGGGCCGGTTCTTCAATGTTCAGTTAACACAAATCGGGGGCAGTCAAAAACCAAGAACGATAGAATACAAGATTGCGCATTCCCGCAGAATGACATTT